ATGTCCGTCCGTCTACCCGCCAGTCCCTCTATCCGGCTGTCCATCTGTCCGCCTTTCCGTCTGTGGAAATCACTCTAGCTTTCGAACGAAATAAAGTAGGTTGATAAACATTTACTCAAATGTATATTATGTCTGAAGGACTTTTGGTATTAAAAATGGGTCATGTAGGTGCAAGTCTTCGTATAGCCCCCTTATTACGGTACCTCCCCATATTCGGTATTTTGTTGATTTTAGCGACATTATTCACCCGAATTCTTTCAAATTTGACATTTGAAGTTCGTAATGGATACTACAGCATATGACAGAAAATTGTCGGTGCAGGTCTACGTCTTCGTATAGCCTCCATATAAGGGTACCTCCCAATATTAGGTATTTTCATGATTTTGGCGACCTTATTCACCGGAATTCTTTCAAATTTGGTATTTGAAGTTTGTAATGAATACTACAACCTATGACAGAAAATTGTATGTGTAGATCCATGTCTTCGTATAGCCCCCATATAATGGTACCCCCCGATATTCGGTATTTTAATGATTTTAGCGACATTATTCACCGGAATTGTTTCAAATTAGGTAGTTGAAGTTCGTAATGGATACTACAGCCTAAGACAGAAAAGTGACTGTGTAGGTCCACGTCTTCGTATAGCCCCCATATAACGGTACCTCCCCTTTTTCGGTATTTTGGTGATTTAAGCGGCATTATTCATCGGAATTCTTTCAAATTTGGTATTTGAAATTCGTAGTGGATACTACAGCCTATGACAGAAAATTGTCTGTGTAGGTCAACGTCTTCGTATAGCCCCCATATAAGGGTACCTCCCGATATTCGGTATTTTGATGATTTTAGCGACATTATTCACCGGAATTCTTTCAAATTTGGTATTTGAAGTTCGTAATAGGTACTACAGCCTATGACATGACATTCGGTATTTTTAAAAGTTTGACAGAATTATGAAAGAATTTTTTATTTTTTATTTATTTATTTATTTATTTATTTTATTTTTTTTTTTTTTTTGATAATTGCCAAAATTGTTCCAAATGGTGGAGGTTATTCAAAAATCGGCCCGGCCAAACTTACAGCTTTTATAAATTCCCCAGAAAAATGTACTCGATTATTTTCATTCCAAAATCCCCCTCTAAGTTATACTTTCTGTGGGAAAATTTGCCATATTTTCCTATCCAAACCCCTCGTTTTGTTTGTCAATAAAATTCTGTCATCTATAAATATAAACGTACTTGGCAGATCAATATCTCTTGAATGCTGAAGCCACTGCCATTGTAACAACTATCTGTTGTTTAGTTGTTGTCTTGTTTTTGTTGTTGTTGTTTTGCATTTGTTTTTGTTTCGAATATATTTTTTTGCGGTTAGTTATGGCATTTCATCACCTATTTTTTCTGCTTCGCTCAACATCTATCTTCTAGACTTTCTTGGCCAATGGATTGCTCTAAATATTTGTTTAGCAATTTATGGGTGCTGTTGATGTTGTTGTTGTTGTTTTTGTTGTTGTTTAAATTGTTGTTGTTGTTGTTGTGTTTTCGATACTAACTTACAAGCAAACAAATGGCCATTAGGAGGAAATCTAGTCGTCTCTAATTTACTGATTATAGTCTATTTTTTATTTTTACTTTATTTGTGTGCGTGTGTGTGTGTATGTGTTTCCTGGTGTCTGTGTGAGAGCTGATGAGTTTGCAAAGTCTATATTTTTTTTTTTTTTTTTTTTTTGTTTGCCATTCGGCATCTGATCCATTTGTCGCTTTCTGTTGATTAGTCATTTAGACAATTTGTTATGGTCCGATGTCATTTGGCTTAAATTCTTTGGCCAGAGTTTTTATTTTTGCGCCATGGAAGCGGCCGAAAAAAAAAGCTTTTACTTTTGTCAATACTTCTAATATTGGGTGATGTTGTTGGTGTCGTTGTTGCTATTTTCTTCAAATATGTTTTCATAATTTGTTTTTAATGTTCGATTTTTTTTTTTTTTTTTTTTGAGAAATTTTATGAACCCAGTTTTGTCAAATGATGATGCTGTCGCTGCCGTCAACATTTTCAGACATCGTCGGTCTAGTGGCGGCCATAGATAAAAGCTCTGAATGTAAGCCATCAATATTTGGCCTTTGGCTATAAGTATTTGGTTTAATGACAAAAGAAATTAGACAGAAAACTGAGAAAAATTAGTGGGGGAATAGTTTAATAGTTTGAATGGCAAAAAAAAGAAAAAAAATTAGAAAGAAAAGTCCTGAAAAATGAATTTCAAAACAATTTTTTTTAAATGGAATTTTTATAAATCTTGCTGAGTTTCAAAAAAAAAAATAAATAAATATAACAATAAAAATAAAAAAATAAAAAAAAATAATAAAAAAAAATAAATAAATTAGAATATTTCAAATAATTTTAGAATTTCAAAATAAATTTTTTTTTAAATGGAATTTTTATAAGTCTTGCTTAGTTATAAAAGAATAAATTAATTTCCAAAAAAAAATAAAAAAAATAAATAAATAAAACAATAAAAATAAAAAAAATTAAAAAAATAATAAAAAAATAAATAAATAAGAATAAACAAGTAAAAAAGCTGCTAAGTCGGCCGGGCCAAACTTTTACTACTCTCCACAATATGGAACGAGTTCGGCAATTGTAAAAAAAACAAAATTAAAAAAAAAATTAAATTAAAAATTCTGTTAAAATCATAAAAATACCGATTGACCGACATTTTTCTGCCTTAGGCTTTAGTACCCATTACGAACTTCAAATACCAAATTTGAAAGAATTCCGTTGAGTAATGTCGCTTAGATCATCAAAACACCGAATATCGGGAGGTACCGTTATATGGGAGCTATACGAAGACGTGGACCTGCACAGACAATTTTCTGTCATAGGCTGTAGTATCCATTACGAACTTCAAATACCAAATTTGAAACTATTCCCATGAATATTGTCGCTAAAATCATCAAAATACCGAATATTGGGAGGTACCGGTATATGGAGGCTATACGAAGACGTAGACCATCACCGACAATTTTCTGTCATAGGCTGTAGCATCCATTAGCAACTTCAAATACCAGATTTGAGACAATTACGATGAATAATGTCGCTAAAATCATAAAAATACCGAATATCGGGAGAAGACGTGCCCAATTATGGAACTAACAATTTACTATTTTTTGCAGGTTTTAAGATATGAAAAAATCTTCAAATTTTAGGGATTTCAGGGCCCCTGATTTATCAATAATTTAAGAGTTCACATGGCAGAGGTGTAACAATTTAAGCTCTACCAAACCTAAAACCTTTTTTGTTGTTTGAAAATGGTCAGTTAGTTTAATTTAAGCCAACCCCCTTTATTAGCCCTTCCCCTTCTTCCCCTTTTTGTAAAAAAAAATCCAAAAACTACTCTTTAATTATTTCGAAAGTACCTCATGATTGCGCCAATAACCGGTACTCATTAGTCGAAAACATTTCAAAGTGCACATCTTCATTTGCTTTTCTTTTCTAAAACAAATTATCATTTAACTGCCCACTTTCGTATAATTATTATTCGACGACAATTAAAACAACAACACAAGCCCTTTTCCAACAACAACCACTTGTAGGCTTACAATTAAATTTATTTCGACAAGAAATGGCCAATAAATCAAGGCAATCACTTGCCGACAATTAGACAAACATACATCAGCTCATCAAATGGTTGAAGGCAGAGCGGAGAAGAGAGAGAGAGAGAGGGGGGGGGGAGAGCTCATGCAAGGCCATGATAGGAAAACCTGAAAAAATCAACTCATTTGCGTTTTGAGTATTTATGGCCAAGGCAGCTAATTATGAGGCACAGCGACAGGCTCATGCATGAGGAAGAGGGGAGAGAAAGGGCAACATTTCTAAAAAAAAAAACCCAAATGACCAGCCCTCAATGCAAGCAATGATTGTCAAGTCAGGCCAACGAGAAAACCCAAGGCTCAAGAATATTGGTAATAAATCTGGCATCAGGTTGTTTTGGTGTTGATAGCAACGATTGTTGATCTGGCCCACAACCTCAACAAACAACCACAACATAGATTTACAATGGCTTACAACGGCTTACAACAGCTTGATGCTGCCACCATTGGCAGCTACGCAGCTACTGTTGCACGAAACAGCCCAACAGCCGTTGAAATACCAGACCCAACAACCAAGAGTTAGCCAAGTTATTGACGTTCAAGTTCAATGCTAAATTTTTTTGTTTCCATGCTCTCACATTCTCTTCTCATATCTAGCTCTCTCTCTCTCTCTCTCACACATTTTTTTCCGTATGAAATGTAAAAACTCTGTTGGGAGAGGCAAAAACTCTCCACAGTTGAGAGGTTGAGAGTGGGAGAGAAAAACCTTGACAATGTTAATGAAAATTGTTACTCTCCCACAGAGAAAGATTATGAGAGAAAGCTTGTTGTACTCTCCCATATGTAGAGCTAAAAGTCTCCACTTCAATGTTAACATCTTTCTTTTGCTCTGTTAAGCCAACCAAGCTGATGGCCAATGTTCTTTTTCCCTACTTTTTCTTTGAGGTTGCTTTCTCTCTTGCCAAAGCAACATCGGATGCGTTGCTGGAATGGATGGATGGTTGGTTGGCTGGCTGTTTGACTGTCTTTTGATGTTAATGCTTTTCTTCTTTCACAGAAACACACACACACACACACGCACACAGCCAATTGTTTTTCTAGCACTTCTTGGAGACCTCGGCGGAAAGCATAAAAGACACATATTTTACAGGTTCAAAGTCATTGCTCGTGATGCAATTGTGGAGTTAACATCGGTATTTTGTTTGTAATAGCCCAGCTAGGCCGCACGACAAAGGAATACTCAAAAGTCATTAGCTAACATCTCACCAGAAGTTATTGAAGACCCCAAAAGCATCATCATCTTCAGTGGATCTTCCTGGTCACACAGTGGATTATAAAAAATAAATAAATTAAAAAAATATTCAAAAACATAAATTCCTGTATTTGAAAAAAAAAATAAAAGGAATTAAAAACAAGCAAAAATATACTCAAAAATAAATTTAAAAAAATTACGGAATATTAAAAAAAATATTGAAAATAAACCACCGAAAGTGCAAATTAAAAACGAAAAAATAAACTTAAAATTGTGATCCTGTTCAACTTGGTGTTTAATTTCATTCATAAGGTATGTTTCCAAGAAAAAAAAAACAAATAAAAAATGAAAAGAGAAATGCAAAAGAAACAATGCAAAAAAACATAAAAATATGAAATGAAACATAAAATGTGTTGTGTGGTGAAACAAAAGACTTAAGCAACAAACTTGCCATGAAATGCATTAAACTTTCTCAACTGCATTTGGCATGGAATCTGAGTGATTTTTCAATGAAATATTTAAGAAAATTCGAATTCTTGATATAAAAAAAAATAAAAATAAGGAACTACAAATTAAAAAAAATCTTTAAATATAAAAAAGAATTAAAAATAAGGAACTTTAAATTTAAAAAATAAAATAATAATAATAATAATAATAATAATAATATTGATTTGAGGAAATGGACAATATATTGAATTCTTTGAAGAAAATTAGAGATCAACTATAAAAAGCATTTAAAAAAAATATGAAATAAACCAAAATTTATTTCATGCCAGAAGACTCAAATTCTCAAAAAAAAAAAAAAATATGGAATTAAGAAAATTGAGAAAAATTGAAAAAATTAAGAAAATTGAGAAAATTCAAAATCTGCCAAAGTTTACAAAAAAATCTAAAAATTATAAATTTAGGATTGAATTGAATTGAAAAAGACAATTCAAAAACTGCCAAAGTTTAAAAAAAAAACTTAAATATTATGAAATTAAGGAATTGAAAAAGAAAATTCAAAATTGGTCAAATTTTAAAAAAAAATCTAAAAATTTTGAAATTAAGGAATTTAGAAAATCTTGAGTACAATAATTAATAGTATTGAAAATTATAAAATTATGGAAATGGACAAAAGTTTATTTTTTTATAAATCATAAGGAAAAAGGATAATATTTTCATGGAATAAGAGATATCAAATAATTACATGCATAAGTCAAAAAAAAATATTTCTTAAACGAACGTCAGGATTGCCATTCAACTGAAAATCATTTTTATAAAAATTCAAAACAAATGATTAAAATTTTTTTATACATAAAAATACAAATCTCCAAAAAATTGCATTAAAACAGGATCCATAGTAAATTTTTTTTGGGGTAATTTAAAATATCCTTGAATCTCTTAACAGTAACTTTTACTGTTTTGGGATGGCTTTTCAAATCCTTTCCTGTAAAATGCTCCAGGTCTTCCTTAAAACAAATAGGAACAATTTCTAATATTTTAAAACCAAAAAAATGCAAATTTTCAAGATTAAAATTTTCTAAATTAATATTCAATGTAATCTTTAAACATTTTCAAATTCTTTCTAAAAATGTGCACCCTACGTAATTCTATTTTGAGGCACACGAATAAAAATATTTCAATACGGAATTGCAACCCTAACCCTTCCATATCGCTTTACAAAGCAGATATCCAATGGGATTTTTTAATATAAACTATTTTAAAAATATAAAAAAAATAAAAAATATAGTCTAAAAAACTTATTTTCTAGTATTGAACAGCCTATGTCATTTTTTGGCATAAAATATTTTTCTTGCTGAAAATATAAGAACTTTTAAGCAGTTCTTAAAGTAAACTGGAACATTTTCAAAAAATATAAAAATTCCAAATTTGAAACATCTTAGGCCTGAAAAAGAATATTATCCAGCAAAAAATGCTTTCCTTAAGACTTGCAATTCACAATATATTGTTTGTTGTTGTTGTTTTGTTTTTTTTATTATTATTAAGCTTCATAGCTCTATTGCTCTACATACTCACGAGTGATAAAAATATTCTTTATGGACAGGGCATATTAGCTCTCTTCAATTTATGAAATTTATGAATTTTCAAGTTCGTGTCCTGAGTCTTTTGCTTGTGTTGCTTTAGAGGGCCTCTTTCTCTGGAAATATATTAAGATCGGAGAACTTCAACCAAAAAAAAAAAAAAAGAGAATTCCCATAATTAATGCTATCAGTGAAATAATAGACTTAAGACACAAACCTGAAATTAATTTTAATATTTTTCCAGGATATTTTTTTTACCTTTTTAGAGTATGAATATGATTCTACATTCACGCAACAAAAATAATAATCAAAAAAATATGTAAACATTTATTTGAGAAACTTAGAAACTATTGATTACTGGTCATGTTTGATCAGGGCCAATGATTTTGCCTTTAGCTGATATGTTCTAAATATACAGGAGACAATTTTTGGTAGGATAATAACCCATTGTAATGGAAAATGAATAAAAAATCCTTTTAGAAAATTCTTCCCAGAGGATCGTGCATTAAAGACGGCCTTCTTGAGGTAGTCTTCGGTCTGCAGAAAGTCTTGTATAATCGTATATCTCCATGTTCTTCTTCAAAGATTTCCCATACGACATTGTACTATGAAATTTCATTTGAGGAGTCTTTGGCCGATATAAGACTCCTTTATGCATCTTTTATTTAGGCCTATAGCAAGTCTTTTTGGAGGTATTTTTTCTATCAAAATTCCTATTATATACGTGTCTGCTGTCCATAGAATTATCCTCTAGAGGTCGTCTATAGAAAGCTCATTTATAATTTTTTTCTTTCTATAAAAACCGCTTAAATATGTTTCTTTTTTTAAGATACATTAAAGAGATTTCCATCTATAAGAGTCCCCTTAATTTGTCTTTAGAAGTTCCCTTTATTTTTCTTCTACCCATAGATTCTTTATATAAAAACGCTCTTAAAAAATGTTTTTTTTTTAAGATCTCTTATAGAGATCTTCAATTTATAAGAGGTCCCTTAAAGGATCTTCAAAATATATAATGTTCCTAATTTGATTTGTATCTATAAAAAGCCCCCTTTATTTTTCACCTGTCCATAGAAGGCGCCGTAAAGTATTCTTCTACATGTAAAAGGCCCTAAAGGAATTGTATGTCCATATAAGGTCATTTAAAAATATTGTTCTTCTTTCTATAAAAACGCTCTTAAAAATAGTTTTTTTTTAAATTATGGAGAACTTCTATCTGTATGACGCTCTTAAAGGATCCCTAATTTAATTCTTGCTTATTTAATTTTCTTCTATCCATAGAAGTCGATGTAAAGTATTTTCCTGTTTGTAAAATGTCCCCAAGGAATTTAATGTCCATAGAAGGTCCTTAAGAAGTCTTCTGTTCAATTAAGATCTCAATGTTTTCTCTCCTGTCTAAAGAAGGGGAGTTCTGTCCTATTGAAAGTCCCTAAGAGGTCTTCTCTTTTCAGGGAAGCTCGTTAGTAATCTCTTGAGGACACTGCTTACAAAAGACCCTTATCAGCTCTTCATTGTATAGACGGCATCCTAAAAAGACAACTTTCTAAAAAAAGCTACTTTGGGGGTTTCTTTCTGTAGATGCCCTTTTTAGGGCTCTTTTGTCTGTAGAAGGTCCTATTAGAGTCCTTCTACCAGAAAAATGTTCCCTGAGAGGCTTTCTGTTGTTCTTGAGGGTCTAAGATTGATAAAATTTTACTCAAATGTATATTCTGTATGCAGGACATTTGGTATTGCAAATGGACCATGTAGGACCACGTTTTGGTATAGCCCCCATTTACCCGTGCCTCCCGATATTCGGTACTTTGTTGATTTTAGCGACATTATTCACCGGAATTCTTTCAAATTTGGTATTTGAAGTTCGTAATGGATACTACAGCCTACGACAGAACATTGTCTGTGCAGGTCTACGTTTTCGTATAGCCCTCATATAACGGTACCTCCCGATATTCGGTATTTTGATGATTTTAGGTACATTATTCACCGATTTTTTTATAAGTTTCGCATTGGAATATTGTAATGGCTTATGACAAAGGTTACCTATGCAGATCCTTTTCGTCGTATAGACCCTAATGTAACAGCTACATTCGGTATTTTTAAGATTCTAACAGAATTTTTAACGGATTTATTTTTTTTTTGAAAATTGCCATATTGTACCAAATGTTGTAGGGTATTTAAAGTTCGGCCCGGCCGAACTTACAGGTTTTTTATTTGTTCTATCTATAGAAGACCCTTATAAGCTCTTGATATTATCTTAAAAAGAATTTTTTCTCAGAGAATCACCTTCGGCACTTTTTATTGCTCTTTTTCTATTAGGGTCCGTTGCCTTAAGAACAATTTAAAAAAAAAGGATTCCTTTCGTGTTTTTGGAGCATTTTCAGTGATTCATGTTTCTGTCGAAGCGATTATTGGGGTCTTCTGGCCGTAGAAGTTCCCTCAATGGGTCCTTATGTGCACATATACTCTCGAAGAGTCCTCTTTCACTTAAAGATGACTTATGAGGCAGTTTATTAAAAGGAAGCACCTTTAAGTCTTTCGTATTTTTATTTATTAATTTTTTTAATATTTTTTGAATATTTTTTCCTTGAATATTTTTTTTTCCTTGAATATTGAGTAGTATATTCTAAACAATTTTGGGTTTTTGCAAAAATACCGTGTGGCGTTGTTGGTCTTTTTCCTAATATATTTTTTTCGTTTGTGTCTTTAGTCTTTCGTATTTTTATTTAATTTTTTTTTTTTGAATATTTTTTGTTTTCTTGAATATTGAGCAATATATTCTAAAATATTTGGGTTTTTTTGCAAAAAAAAATATCGTGGGGCGTTGGTCTTCTTTCTAATATATTTTTTCGCGTTCGTGTCTTAAGTCTTTCGTATTTTTATTTAATTTTTTATTATTTTTTTTTTTATTTTAATTTTTTTGAATATTTTTTCATGAATATTGAGTACTATATTCTAAAATATTTGGGTTTTTTGCAAAAAATATGGTGGGGCGTTGGTCTTCTTCAAAATATATATTTTTCGCGTATGTGTCTTAAGTCTTTCGTATTTTTATTTAATTTTTTTTTATTTTTTATTTAATTTTTTTTTTTTTTTTGAATATTTTTTCCTTGAATATTTTTTGTTTTCTTGAATATTGAGCAATATATTCTAAAATATTTTGGTTTTTTTGCAAAAATGTCGTGGGGCGTTGGTCTTTTTCCTGATATATTTTTTCGCGTTTGTGTCTTAAGTCTTTCGTATTTTTATTTATTTATTTATTTTTTTAATATTTTTTTTCTATTGTGTAATATGTTC